AGGGTCAGAGGGAGAAGCAGGCTCCCTGCCGAGCAGGGAGCCCGATGCGGGACTCGATCCAGAGACTCCAGGATCATGACCTGAGCCGAAAGCAGTCACTTAACCAACTGAGCCACCCAGGCGCCCCTGTTTGACAGTATCCTTATAGTAAATACTGCAACAAGTCTTGAGACTTTTAAATAATGTTCTTTTCTATAGATCTGTGGCATTAAAGGTCAGAGTGCCATTTCCTTGAAACAGGTCTGTGATACAGGGTTACCTTCTGTGAGAATTAAATTAGGTTATGTATTTAAAATGCATATTGCCATCATTAATAGATGTTTAAGAAATGGAAGCTAAGTAAGTCATACTAGTATATGACTGATATAAACCCTTTACCCTCCTAGAGACTTTTGTTCTTATTCTTTTTACTCCAAAAATTCCTTAGAGTCTGTGAAATTTTGTTTCTATAATGGCATCTTAATGAGTAGTGATAGAAACTCTGAGAGTAGTAAAAAAAAGGCTGCAAAGTACTGAATGTATGGATTACCTTAAATCTCATTTTTAAGAGTTGGCAGCTACCTGAAGTATAATTGTGGAAATTAGTCTATTACAGTTGTAAGAAGGCATAGTAGGATAGTAATCAGCATGCCAGATGAAGTAGGCCAAAACCAGCAAGCCATAGCAATCAAGGACAAGTTAGTCAGTGCTGGGTAGGTGATTTCAGTACCCAAACAATAAAGCCATTTCCTGTCTCATCCTCTTCTGCCCCTGTTCTCTTCTTACCCTGCTATGAGACATTCATAGGAAAGCTCTACTTGTAGTTCTGCATGTAGTATCAACTAAAAATATCAAACTGAATATTGTGTGCAGATCTTTGTTAAGTAAGGAAGGGCCAGAATTGACTCTAAGTTTTGTCCCTTGGGTGAATATAGAGGTTCCAACTTGGGGAAGGAAGAAGAGGAAGGATTATAAAGTTTTATTTTGAGGTGGTAGTAAATTAGATGAAAATATTTAGTGAATAGTTAGTCATAGAGGAAAGAATATGGCCTGGTGATAGAAATAATAGTTAAAGCTGTCAAAATAGCCAGGCTCTCCTAGGAAAAGATAGTAGCAAAGGAACACAGAGCATACTTAATTTAAAACAGTGGAAGGAAGAAGGGCCTGCACATGAAGTGCTCAGACAAATAATCAAGATACCGTACTATTTTGGAAGTTATACACAGTTTCAAAAGGAGGACATGAGCAGTGGTGTTGAATACATGAAAGGCCAAAATAAGGCTTTCATATCTGGTGAGAAAGTTATTATTAGTTATTAATTATAATTATAAAGTTTGAGGATTATGTACAGTGGCTATCAAAGTAATAAATTTTGAAGAAAATTATCTGGTAGTAAAAAAAATAAAAATATCCACTGATGCAACAGTCACAGATCATTTTATAAAGAAGCCAAGTGATGAAAATCAATAGAAGTAAGGTAATAAATTAGAGAAGGCAGAGGGGCAGGAAGTCTTTTTTCTCCTCCGCAGGAACAGAGACCCAATTAATGAAAAATTGAACACAGTAGAAAGAAATGTAATTCTAAGAGCAAAATGCTTAGAATATGGAAAATAATCAGGTAATTTAAAAAAATTTATTCCTTTGAACTACTATAGACTATCTTTAAGTGTCAAAGAAGGAATATAAAATCTTCTTGTATTATTATTTTTTATATTAGATCATAAATCTGGGTTAGATCATAAATCTTAAGAGTAGTAGCTGTCTTAAAATTCTTGTAACACTTAGCTCCACCTGGAAAATATGTAATTATAGGCTTTTTAGGAATTTTCAGGAATCTTGAGCCTTTCCTTAAAACCTAAAGTGAGGGGGCACCTGGGTGGCTCAGTCGTTACGCATCTGCCTTCAGCTCAGGTCATGATCCCGGGATCCTGTGATCGAGCCCCGCATTGGGTTCCCTCCTCCGCGGGAAGCCTGTTTCTTCTCCCACTCCCCCTGCTTGTATTCCCTCTCTTGCTGTCTGTCTGTCAAATAAATAAATAAAATCTTAAAAAAAAAAAAACAAAACTAAAGTGAAAAATGAAAGGATAGTATAAAGATAAAAATACTGAGGTTAAGCGGGCACCTGGGTGGCTCAGTCGGTAAGCATCTGCCTTCAGCTCAGGTCATGATCCCAGGGTCCTGGGATGGAGTCCCACATCAGGCTCCCTGCTCAGCAGGGAGTCTGCTCCTTCCTCTCCCTCTCCCTCTGCCACTTCCCCGGCTTGTGCTCTCTCTCGCTCACTCTCTCCCAAATAAATAAATAAAATCTTTTTTAAAAAATGCTGAGGTTAAAATGAGGAAATAGTTCGATGTTAATCCTAATATATTAATTGACATTAATAATGACAGTAATTTGGGCGCCTGGGTGGCTCAGTTGGTTAAGCGACTGCCTTCGGCTCAGGTCATGATCCTGGAGTCCCGGGATCGAGTCCCACGTCGGGCTCCCTGCTCAGCAGGGAGTCTGCTTCTCTCTCTGACCCTCCCCCCTCTCATGCTCTCTCTCTCTCTATCTCATTCTCTCTCTCAAATAAATAATAAATAAAATCTTAAAAAAAAAATGACAGTAATTTGTGTTTTCAGATGACAGTATATATTATGAAATCTTGCATTGGGAAAATGTAGATGGGAGCATCATGGTGTCTTTTACCATTTTCAGTGCAATTTATAATTCACAAACCTTAGACTTTTTGTGTTTTACAGTCTGTTGCCAGAATCGGCCAAACTGGAACAAAGTCTGTCTTCTCACAGAGTGGAAATAGTCGAGAGGTAACCCCAATTCTTGTTGCACAAACACAAAGTTCTGGCCCACAAACAAGGTATTTATTATGGTGTCATTATTTGATATTCTTGGCTTTTCTTGCTATAAAATATGACTTTATTCACTTTAGGCAGGTTTTGACTTTCCCAAGAAGTCTAGAATGACTATTATAAATTTTGAATGTGTCAAATTAGAAATTTCTAGGGGCACCTGGCTGGCTCAGTCGGTAGAGCATGCAACTCTTGATCTTGGGGTTGTAAGTTCGAGTCCCACGCTGGGTATAGAGATTACTTAAAAAATAAAAATCTTTAAAAAAAAAAAATTTCAAACTTACTGAAAAGACTAGTGTAATTTTTAGTTGAGTATTTTAATACAAATCAAGACAAAGGTAACCAAAAGATCTTTTTATTTTACTCTAATTCCCTCATGAATTTGTTTAAACTAGATATTCTGAACACTCCTCTAAAATAATTTTCTTCTTATTACATGACCTTCATTGGTCAAGTACAGATAGATTTCATTCTCCCCTTCCCCTATTATGCACTTATATATACAGATCATAAAGTTAATCTGGTAAATCTTTAAATAATCCACTGCCACACAGAAATGGTGTTAAGTAGGGTTTCTTTTTTCTGTTGAAGTACTCAAAAACAAATCATAGCTAATACTTTAAAAGAATGATACAACTGTCTCCTTGTAAAATAGTGAACATGTACCGTAAGACTTAAAATAGACACAGATGTACATATACCTTGACTAATATAAAAGGCTTCAATATTTCTGAAATGCCAAGATGGCAAGTCTCATGACTGTCAACTCACAGACAGGTGACAGGGATTGCCTGGAGCTCAGTTATGAGAAGGAACCTGAGGGCTCCTGCAGAGCACCATTATATAGGCTGAATAAATGCTAATCCTAAAGAATATATAAGCATAATTTATGGAATTACACATTTCACTTAAGCTAAACAATTATACTAACTTTAATAAACATCAACTTTTAATGATTTTGTGGGGTTTTTTTGTATTTTATCTCCTTTATTGCCTATCTTAGTTTCCTACAGTTGCCATAACAAAGTTACTGCAAACTGGATGGTTTAAAACAACAGAAGCGTATTCAGGGCCATGCTCCCTCTGAAGCCTCCAAGGGAAGATCCTTCCTTGTCTCTTCCAGTTTCTGGTAGCTTAGTTGGTGGGAGCATAACTCAATATGTGCCTCTGTCGTGTGACCATGTGAACGTGGTCATCTTCCCTGTGTGTCTCTATATCCAGATTTCCCTCTTCTGAGGACATCAGTCATACTGAATTAGAGCTCACCCTAATGACCTCATCTTAACTTGATTATATCAACAAAGAGCCTGTGTCCAAATAAGTCACATTCATAGGTAGTGGAGGTTAGGGCTTCAGCATATTTTTGGGGAAACACAGTTCAACATAACATTGCCTTATTAATAATTATTCTTTATTTTGTCTTTTTAGAGGCTGTTTTAGTGTTTATAGTATGTATTCTAACTTATCAAAGTCTACCTTCAAATAATGTTGTACCACATCATATATAGTATAAAACCTTATGATAGTGTGCTTTCATGCTCCTCTCCCCATCTTTATGCTATTGTTGTCATAGATTTTACCTCACATGTATGTAAACCGATTGTGCATTGTTATAGTTTTTCCCTTAAATAGGCAGTTATCTTCTGGAGAGATTTTTTAAAATAAGAAAAAGAAATCTATTTTGTATTTACCCACATATTTACTATTTCCGGTGCTCTTTATTTCTTTCTATAGGTTCACATTTCAATTTGGTATCCTTTTCCTTCATCTTGAAAGACTTAAAATTTCTTATAGTCCAAGTCTGCTGGTAATGAATTTTTTCAGCTTTTGTATGTCTGAAAGAGATTTTTATTTCATCTTTGTTTTGTTTTTGAAAGATACTGTCACTAGATAGAGAATTCTTGTTCATAGTTTTTTCTTTAAAGATGTTGTTCTACTGTCCTCTCGCTTGTTTTGTTTCTGACAAGAAGTGTGTCATTCTCATTTTTTGTTCCTGTGTATGTAATGTGTCTCTTTTCTGATAGTTTTACAATTTTTATCTTTGATTTCTGATTTTAAGTCATTTGATCATGATGTGCTGTCGTGTAGTTTTCCTCTTTCTTGGCCTCCAAATTGATTGAGCTTCTTGGATCTGTGATTTCGTAGTTGTTATTAAATTTAGTTAATTTTTGGCCATTATTTCTTCAAGTATTTTTTCTGGTCCTGTCCCCCTCTCCCCTCCTGGGACACTGAGTATGTGTTTATTAGACCATGAAGTTGTCCCTCACAGTTCAGTACTGTGTTCATTTTTGTTTGCAGTCTTTTTCCTCTGTTTCATTTTGGATAGTGTTTATTATTATGTCTTCAGGTTAACTAATCTTTTCTTCTGCAGTGTCTAATCTGCTATTAACCCCAACCAGAATGTAGATATAGTTTTAATCTCAGATGTTCTATTTTTTATCTCCAGAAGTTTGATTTGGTTCTCTCCTTTAACATGTCCATTCTTTCTTCTACCTTTTTGAGCATATGGAATATATCTATAATAGCTCTTTTAATGATTTTGTCTACTGTCCTTACTGTGTTATTTCTGGGTCTGTTTTTTATTGATTTTTTTTTCTTTTCATTATAAGTTATATTTTCCTGCTTCTTTGTATGTCTAGTTTTGTTGTTGTTGTTTTTATGCCAGTAAATGTTGGAAATTTTACGTTGTTGAGTGCTGGACTATTTTATCTTCTTTTAAGTATTTCTGTTTTATTCTGGGAGGCAGTTACTTGTTAATAGTTTATTCATTTCAGGTCTCGATTTTTAAGTTTTGTTGGGTAAGACAAGAGTGGCCTTTAGTCTAGACTAATTTTGCCCCACTATTGAGGCAGTATTCTTTGAATACTCAGTGACGTGCTGAGTATGAGGTTTCTTCATTCTGGCTATTGAAAATATAAGCTACTCCCAGCCCAGGTTGAGCTCCAAGAGTTGTTCTGCCAGCTCCTTTGCAGTAGTTCTTTCTCTAGATTCAGGTAGTTTTCCTCACTGTAATACTGTAGTAAGTTCTGGTACTAATTACCCAGAAATAGCATAGACTCTGCAGGCAAGATCATAGTCCCAGCAAGACTTAACAAATCTTGTTGACTTAGCAACTACAATTTCAAGGGTTCCCTGGGCCACCTTCACTTCTGACCAACTACCTACAAATTTGAGGGTTCTTACTACCCCCTGAGGTTTAATATGTTAGGACAATTCATAGAATCTAGGAAAGTTCTATACTTATAGTTATCAAGGATACCAGTCAGGACCAGACAAACGAGGGCCCATAGGATGAGGTCTGGGAGGGTCCTGAACACAGAGCTTCTGTGTCCTTTCCCCTGGGTGAGACGTGTCACCTCACCAGTGCATCAGTGTGTTCGCCAACCAGGAAGTTCAACTGAGTTTTGGTAGTCAAAGTTTTTTGTGTTTGTTTTTTTTTTTTAAAGATTTTATTTATTTATTTGACAGAGAGAGAGCACAAGTAGGCAGAGAGGCAGGCAGAGGGAGAGGGAGAAGCAGGCTTCCCGCTGAGCAGGGAGCCCAATGCAGGACTCGATCCCAGGACCCTGGAATCGTGACCTGAGCCGAAGGCAGCCGCTTAACCGACTGAGCCACCCAGGCGCCCCGGTAGTCAAAGTTTTTATTGGAGTTACATTACATAGGCATGATAGATTGTGTCATTGGTCGTGTGATTTAACTCAATCTCCAGCCGCTGTCCCCTTCCTAGAGAAGGTCAGGCTGTTAACACCCAGCTGAAAGCTTCAACTGTCTAATCACTGGTTGGTCTTTCCAACATGGCCAGCCCAGTATTCTGAATCTATCTAGGGCCACCACAAGTCATTTCATCAGCATAAACTCAGGTGTGGTCTCAGGGGCCCACCATGAAGAACAAAGACACTCATATCGCTTGAGAAATTCCGAGCATTGGGGCGCCTGGGTTTCTCAGTATTAAGCATCTGCCTTCGGCTTAGGTCATGATCCCAGGGTCCTGGGATCGAGCCCGGCATCCGGCTCCCTGCTCAGCGGGAAGCCTGCTTCTCCCTCTCCCACTCCCCCTGCTTGTGTTCCCTCTCTCGCTGTGTCTCTGTCAAAGAAATAAATAAATAAAATCTTTAAAAAAAAAAGAGATAGAGAGAGATTCAGAGCATTTAGAAGCTGCTTCTCAAGAATTCAGGACAAAGACCAGATGAGTTTTTTATTATAACACACTCAAACAGTTGCGCTACTCAGTTTCAACTGCAGATTCTAGGAAAACTTCCAGCAGATCTTTGAAGCTCTCCTTCTTTGTAGCTCTCCCCTTTCTAGTACTCTCATCTTCATATTCTAGCTGCCTTCACTTCTTGTAAGTCTCAACATTTTCTTCTCAACACAGGAAGACCACTAAGTTCTGTTTGTGTTCCCTCTCCCTGCACTGTGTCCTCAGAATTCTCAGGCATATGTGCTTGCTGTCCAATGTCTGAAAAGCATCATTTCATATATTTTGTTCAGTGTTAATAGTTGTTTAAGATGGGATAGTAAATCTGGTCCATTTTACTTCATTTACAATTGGCAGTGGAAGTCTGTTTTTTTTTTTTTTTAGAAAGTTGTTTTTTTAGAGATGATTAGAATAGCATAGTTCTCTTAGCTAAATTTCCCCAAAAAGTTTGTATGTTATCATTTTCTCTACATATATTAACCTCTAAAAATAATTTTTATATTCTTTCCAAGGCATCTTCTTATAACTAGCATTCATACTTTATTACGAAACCATAAGATGATACTACTTACAAAAAACTTTTTATTTTTCTTAAAGATTTTATTTTATTTATTTGAGATGAGAGAAACAGGGAGAGAGGGAACACAAGCGGGGGGGGGGGGAGAGGCAGAAGCAGACTCCCCGCTGAGCAAGGAGCCTGCCTCAGGGCTTGATCCCAAGACCCCAAGATCACCACCCGAGCCAAAGGCAGACACTCAATCGACTGAACCACCCAGGCACCCCTACAAAAACTTTTTTAAAAAGTGTTTAATATAACCGGCACATAATCACATAGGTAATAAGTGATAGAATTGATTTCAAACCTCAACAATCTGATTCTAGAGCACATTCCTTTCATTCTCAAATTCCTAGTTAAAAAGATGCAAGTTATAAAGAGATGAGTATATTTCATGTGCTACGACCAGTGTTTCAAACTCACTCAGTATCCTGCTTCATTTTCCTGATGTCTGTCAGACTTCGGACATTTTTTTCTTTTGTCAAATTGCCCTTCGGAGCTAACAGAACCGTAATGAAAATTATGATTAGGAAGAGTTTGTCTTCTTCATCCTCCTAGCCCCAGAATCATCTTACTATTATTTTTACTTCTACCCCGACAAGATTCATGTTATACTCCTGCAACTTTTCTTGGCTTTTAAGAAGTCTCAGCATTTTTTCTCAGGCTTGTCCTTCCTATAAACTGCTCCATGGATGAAATTATTCCCTCCCGCTTCTCAGGCAAACTCTTTTCTATAATTAGGTAATATTATTGACAACATATAATTCACATTTGTAGCATAAATGACATAGTTGTTCAAATAAAGAATATTGTACTTTTAAAAATGAATCAACTTCTATAAAAGGCAAAACTATGGAAACAAAAAAGATCAGTAGTTGCCAGGGGTTGGAGGGGGGAGGGATGAGTAGGCAGAGTGCAGAGGATTAGGGCAGTGAAAATATTCTGTATGATACCATGATGGATATATGTCATTATATATTCACACGTACCTATAGAATGAACAAAACCACGGGTGAACTCTATCATAAAACTGTCGACTTTATAATGCATCAGTGTAGGTTCATCACCTATAACAAATGTCCCACTCTCGTGGGGCATGTTGATAATGGGGGAGGCTGTGCATGTTGGGGGCAGGGGTATATGGTACATCTCTCTGTACCTTCCCCTCAATTTTGCTGTGAACCCTAATCTCCTCTAAAAAAATCCTAGGGGGACACCTGGGTGGCTCAGTCGGTTAAGCGTCTGTCTTCGACTGAGGTCATGATCCCAGGGTCCTGGGATCAAGTCCTGCATCAGGCTCCTTGCTTGG